CGACTAACTTCTGGCTTGTTTCATGTATTCCGAGAAACACACCACTTCCCAACCTTGCTGCGAGGTCGTTGTCACCTCCTCTGAGCGGAGTCTTCCGGCGAACGATGCGCGATGCAAGCTCGGGCGCCTGTTCGTTGCGTGTCCGCTCTCGGCGCCTCTCGCAGGCAAACCTCGCCATCGGCGTTTACCGCAAACGCGTCAACGAAAGACGGCGCATCAGCCGCTGACCAAGGTTGAATTGCATGCCTTTCCACGACTTCAACATTTTTAAAGATCCTGAGCATGTTTAATGTCCACATTCGGCCCTGGGGGTCCGGGGGTCTCCGGCCGGACTAACTGCCGCTCCTGCATCGAGGTCGCGCGCAGATTCGACGGCTTCCTGGAGCGCCACAATGGCCCACATCGATTTTGAAGGCCGTTTCTCCGTGGTCAGCGAATAAACTCACATCGAAAAATGCTGTGACAAAATGCGGCCCGTGCCCTCCCGAAGCAACCCTCGGCTACGGGTAAACTCCGCGCCCCCAGCAGCACGCGGCGATGATTCGGCATCCCCCGCCCCCCCCCCCGACCGTCCCCCCACCCCCTCCTGACCACGTGACATCGACTAAGACCACCTGCGCACGTTACCCCTGCATCCTAAACTACCCCCCGCGGGCCTCCCCCTGGGCACTTCCTCCGGCGCGGCGAGGGCGCCGGCTTCGGTGGGGGACGTGCGATTATCACGCAAAAAAACTTATACTTTGCTTGGTCTTGATTACGCGTGAATCCCTTCGACGCCTCAGCCTTCTCGCCGACAAAAATCGCCCGCGTCGCTAAACTCGCTGCCCATCCTCGCCCCCCGCGCCCCCCCCCGCATTCACGGCGACTGGATTCCGACTGGGACTTGCAGGCCCCATCGGACCCAGCAGAAACGGTCCGCCACGAGAGGCCCCTGCCCAGGGAACACCTCGCGCCTCTGATCGCAAACTTCATCGGCTTCCCTCGCGCGCCCCCCCCGCCGCCTGGCCGGCAATGCCTGCTGGGCCCCGCGCGGCGAACTGGATGTTGCCCCCTTTCTTATGATTGGCCATCTGCTGCCCCGCTGCCTCATGCGCGAGGCATCTGCAGGGTCGCCCATCGACCCATCGATGTCCCGATCGAACACCATGCGACGTCCTGCCTCTGCCACGTCACGCGCAGGCCCCGGCACCTCCCCGACGTCGGCCACTGGGATGGGCATGCTCACCATGGGCGCCCTTTCGATTTTTATTCACATGAGCTCGTTGCTCATGGTTCTTGTTGACTGATCCGATGGCTGCGCAGCCGTGATTACCGCTCCTGGAGGCCTCCGCAAGTTCGGCGGGGAGATGGGCCCGCGCTCGGAGGCCCAACCGCGACGCGGGCTCCTGAGTCCGCGGTGACAAGAAATATCCAATCCACGCCGCGCTCTTGGCCCCTCACTGGCACTTCTTTGTTTTCCTTGCCGGGCCCCTTCATCTCCGCTCGGTGCAGTTCGGCGCCCGCGTGCATCCGCAGTTGCCGTCTCGGTGCGATCTGTGATTCAATCGCCCCAGTCGGTTTCAACAGTCGCAATGGACCCTGCGCCCAGGTGGCGCGCGCCCCCACTTGACCCCTTACCTCGCCACTCAGTTCCTCCGCCAGGTTTCTCGGCGCAACGCCCTCCACGCCCGCGGCCCTGTAATCGGCCCCGGCCGGCGCAGCGACGTCGCCAGTTACTCCGCCTGCGTCTATGGCCTCGCCCACTTCGACGCTGTGGCGCCCAGTCCCATGCGGGGTTTGCCCAAACAGCTGCGGGGGGTCCTCCCGCGCCTCCACTCCACCCTTAATACAGGGTGACTTCGTTGGCTTTTCTTGGGGCAGCGGGCTGGGGCGCGACCCGCTTCGTCGCGTGTGGCGCGCCTCCTCTCACTGATCGGCGCAAATCCTCCCTCGCCGCCCCCTTTCCAGCCTGGCGCTTGGTCCACTTTGCAACCTCCTGGATGATCTCATTCGCGGCCTCCCTTGACAAGGCCCCCATGTGGTTATGGTGCCACGTTGCCCCCCTCTGTTCCCTCCTGCCCGCGTCTCTTGGTAACCCTCGGCTCCTTTCTAGACCCCTTTTGTCCACCGCATTTTCCTTTCGCGGTTCCTTGAGTGGCGCAGTCTTTGGCAGCGTGCCTATACCCTCCACGCTTGTAGCACATGGGCCATTTACCTGGGCCTCTGCCCACATCTTTCGCGCTGCCGCTTCTGCTTGCGCCCCGCTGTCCCAGCCCGCAAGATCCCGCTTCTGTCGCAAGAGCCAGAAACGTTTACGCCTGTGCCCACGCCGCCAAATTCTCCATCGTCAACTTGGGCGATTTCCAAAGAGTCGTCGACGCCCGCGTCGGCGTCCGACCTGATTTCCCTTGTCTCACCCTCGCGCTCGACGAAGAGACCTTGGCAGGTGCCGAGATTGAACGGCCCAGGCGGCTCGAAGCAGTCCAGCTGGTCGCCATCGAACAAGCCACCTGCGTGACCCACGATCAGCCTCTGCGAAGTTCGCCTGAATTTTAATCATAACCATCACGCAGAAGCATTCTCCTCCAGGGGCTTTACCAACGCACTCCATTTTTCGAGCTGGGTCGCCGCGTCGCGCACCTTCTCGGGCCATCCGCGGCACATGGCCAGACTCATCTTGCGGGGGAACGCGACTCCAATGACGGCGACACTACGCATGTATATCTGCTGGTATACCATCGGGCAGCCGCCTTCTTGTAGGCCCTTCAGTTTTCCACGCGGCCTCGCCCCGCCCAGCTTGGTTCAGTGAGGAAATGCCAGAGGTCCTCGTCCAACTTGGCGCAATTGCCATCATGGAATTCATATCATCCATGTGAGCCATCTTCTTGTTACTTGATGTGCGACGCCTTGGTGCATTCGCTTAGCGTGTTAACCGTCCGTTCATGACCTTTGCGGAATCATCCTCGTCGTCACCTGGTAATTCCCAATCCACGGCTTCGAGTCTTGCTGACACGCTTCAAGGCTTTATGGGAACCGTACTTTGCTTGGGCGAACGCATTCAACAACATCTCGCTCCGTTATCTGAATTTGGTTCGGTTGCACGAGAAAGTGTTTAACTGTTCAACCGCCTTGAACTCGCTGACGGGTTTTCTCCCGCCTCGTCCTGCTTTGGTTTTTGCTGCAGAGTCCATGGCCTCGACGATCTTGATAGCATGCTCCGGGGCGTTCGCTTGGCGTTGGAAGTATGCCCGGGCGTGGTACGTCGAGTTAACGGGCTGTTCCTCACAGGACATGTGGCGGCTGATGACTGATATCAAGGGCGCACCCGTTTTGCAGCTCACCTGCATCATTGTGGATGCCTCGAAAAAAGTCAAAGGGTGCCTAACGTAGCGCTGCGCTCGAACGGCAGCCTCAACCCTACATGATGGGGCTTGAGCACAACGTGAACACATCGGAAGTCTCCGTTATCGTAACAGGCGTGGCGCAACTCCATGAATCGGCTTGTGCTCAGATTGTACAACCTCTCTCGGACCTCGGGTAACGTCACATCGAAACCTGGGTCAGCTGCACCAGGAGATGGGCGGGGCCGTCGCGGCTGCCGCCGCGGCCATCGCGGGGAGGCGCCTGCTTCGTTGAGTTAACCGCGCGCCCTGGAACCCGTAGGGCAAATTACGGGCTCCCCGACCGTCAAAATATGATTGGAACCTTTCTTACGATGGTAAATGAAACCCGAACCAAACATTTGCAGCGCAGCCCACTATCAACATGTACCATGGGAATTCCTAAATCACAATTCTGCAAGTCTGTGGCTGAACTGTTCTGCTACACTTCACCTTCTGCCAAGCATAAGGGCATCAAACAACTAACAATTGTTCCTCCTCCTCCTCCTACTCCGGCTACTCCTCCCCCTCCACTTGCACATGTTCCTTCTCCGCCTAATCCTCGTCCGCATCCGCCTCCGCCTCCTCCGAACTCCTGGCGGCTCCCTGGGGAGGAAGCGATCACGGCAAGGCTGGTAAGTAGACGCACGGGACTGTTCGGTCAATGCCTTTTGAAGGGGGGTCGGGGTCGGGGTGGCTCCTAAGACAGAATCAAGACGAGGATCAAATCGGGTGAAGATAGATCGAGAACATCTGAGATCCGGCGGCTCCGGAAGATGCCTCGGGCGCCGCGGCCTTCTCAGAGCGTCCCGGAACTCTCTGAGAGCGTCCTGGAACACTCTGGAACGGCTTTGCCCTCGTCCTGGCCCCGTCCGGGTTGGGGGGGGTACGGGTTCCATGTGTTTTTCCAATGTTTCCCGACCTCCCCCCACTGGAAATGGAAGGCAGACTGAGGCCTTCGGGTTGGGTTGGGGTGGTTTGGTGGGTGGTGGCCGCCCTGGTTCCTCCCCCGCTGTCGGGGGTTGCTAAAGGTGCCCCTGGCCCAAAGTTCCCCTTGCTGTCCGCTCCATTTGGGAGCCCCCGGGCCCCCTGGGCCTCGCGAGGGGTGGGTGCTCTGGAGGCTGTGTGCGCCTCCCTGCAACTCCTGGGGGCACCTTGGGCCAAGGGCACTTCTAGCAACACCCGACACTGGCTTTTGGACGCCCAAAATGGGTACGGAAAAAATGGGTACAATGCCCAACAACAAGTGTTGCCCCAAACCAACAGCGGCCGCTGTTGGGCAGGCGGCCTGCTGTCTCGAATGGACACAGGCCGCGGCGGCGTGGACAGCGAATCCGGTTCAAAATGAACAGGAACCGCTGTTGGGCATTGTACCCATTCTTTTGGTACCCATTTCGGGCGTCCAGATGGCTGCTTCGGGAGCGGCCAAGAGGGGGGTGTCCAAGAGGGGGGGGTGCAAATCATGACCGGCGGCATGTGCGCGGACCAGCGGGAGGGCCAGGGACGTAATGAAATAAGAAGAGGCGCCATGAAATCTGGGGAAAAATCATGGCCCCCGCCATGATATCCCCCCCCCCTTAGTCATCACCCCCCTCTTTTCCGCCCCCGACCATTCTCTTGGTACCCATTTCGGGCGTCCAGATGGCTGCTGGGGGGGGGGGGGGCGCATGCATTCCGCCGAGTGCCCCGCCCCCGGCACGCGGGCGCTCCGCTGCTCCGGGAGCTCGGCGCGGCGCGCGGCCGCGGGAGGCGCCGGGCGCGCGGGCCCTCCGCGCCTGGCCGGGGCCACGGCCGGAGCCCCGAAGGCGGCGCAGGCCAGCAGCTCCGAGGAGCCTCCGAGGCCATCTCGTCGGCTCTGGCGAAGCGACGCGAGGTCGACGCTCCTGGGCGCCAAGTCGGCGCCATCTCATCGACTCCCAGGCGCGGATGGACGCGGATGGACGCTGTAGACGGAACCGCGAGGGCGTTCAAGGTTCTCCCGACTGGCTACCGCAGGAGGGGTCGGCGGTCTCTTGGCGGCGCGCACCAGGGCGCAGGGGGGAGGGGGGAAGGCTTCTTGGAAGAAAGCTGCTACTCAGAAGGCGCTGGCCCTACATCAGCAGAGAGGGCCCACGCCTTCTGATGAGCAGGGGTGCTTCTGTCGGGGGCGCGCAAACATGGATTAGCGATCCATGGATTTGGCGCGCGGTCGCCAAATCCATGGATCGGGGGAGGTGCCCTCCCCAAAATGCGGCCGGTGCCGCCTCGTTCGGCGGCGGAAATCCGCGATTTCAGATGGAACCGGGACCCGTCGCTAATGCACGCCCCCTTCATCCATGTTTGCGATCGCCTGACTCTGATGCGCAGGTGTGCTTCTGAGCAGCCTTCCCCCCTCCCCCGACCCCCCCTACGCGTGGCTGAGCCCTGGAACTGCCAGGAGGAACGCTGAGAAAAGGAACGAAGGGGACTTCCTGGCCACAGAAGGCCTCGTCGACGAACCTCCTCCTCCTCCTCCTCCTCCTCCTCCTCCTCCTCCTCCTCCTCATTTTCCTCCCTCCTCCTCCTCCTCCTCCTCCTCCCTTCTCCTCCCCTCCTCCTCCTCCTCCTCCTCCCTCCTCCTCCTCCTCCTATCCTCCTCCTCCTCTCCTCCTCCTCCTCCTCCTCCTCCTCCTCCTCCTCCCTCCTCCTCCCCCCTCCTCCTCCCCCTCCTCCTCAAGCCCCCTCCCTCCTCCCCCCTCCCTACTCCCTCCTCCTCCTCCCTCCCCCCTCCTCCCTCCTCCCTCCATCCTCCTCCTCCTCCCCTCCTCCCTCCTCCTCCTCCCCTCCCTCCTCCCTCTTCCCTCCTCCCCCCCTCCTCCCTCCTCCTCCCTCCTCCCTCCTGCCTCCTCCTCTCCTCCTCCTCCCCCCTCCCCCCTCCCCCCTCCCTTCTCCCCTCCTCCCCTCCTCCCTCCTCCCTCCTCCCTCCTCCCTCCTCCCTCCTCCCTCCTCCCTCCTCCCTCCTCCTCCTCCCTCCTCCCCCTCCCTCCTCCCTCCTCCTCTCCTCCCTCCCTCCCTCCTCCCTCCTCTCCTCCCTCCTCCCCTCCCTCCTTCCTCTCCTCACCTCCTCCCTCCCCCCTCTCTCCTCCCTCCTCCTCCCCCACCCCCTCCCCCCCCCGTCCCCCTGCCCCTCCCACTCAGTCCTTCTCCTCCTCCTCCCTCCTCCTCCTCCTCCTCCTCCTCCTCCTCCTCCTCCTCCTCTCCTCCGCCTCCACCTCCCCTTCCTCCTCCCCTCCCACCTCCCTCCTCCCTCTACCACCCGCCCCATGTCCCGAGCTTGTGGCAGGGTCATCAGCTCGTTGTTGTCGTTGCCGTCGTGGTCGTCGTCGTGGTCGTGGTCGTCGTCTTTTTGGATCGGCGGCACCGGCCGCATGGCCTTCACAATAAAGGAACGAATGGCCTTTCCTGGCCACGACGGGCGTCGTCCATGAATACCCGTTGGTCGGAAGCGGTGGGAAAAAAATGAAGCAAGAAGCCGTTGGAAGTGGACCGGGCGCTTGATGCATCGGCGACGTCGGCGATGCATCGGCGACGCTGGCATGGAGAGAGTCGGGGGCCCCGCATCGAGCTGCATCGCCGATGCAGCGGCGATGCGGCGCGATCCTCCGACCCCAACTGCTCGGATCCCGTCCATGCGAAAGTGGGCCGAAACATGAAGTAGGAAGGGGTTGGAAGTGGACTGGACTTCCGCCCGTCCTCTGAAGAGGACGCAAGAGGGACAGCCGATCGACTCTTGAAGCAGGAAGGCGTTTGAAACAAAATAAGATCAGGGTCCCCCCAAATAGCTACATTCAACGACCAGCATGTGGGCTCCCCGACCCAGACCCAAGGAACGGCCCCAAAAACGCGGGTCCCTCCTGAGCCCAAAGTGGTCCTCGTGTCAGCGCCTTTGACTGCACCTGGGCCAACCAAGCCCGGGCCGATGACCGGGCCGAGCTGGGTTGGCCCGGGCCGAGCGGCGCATCGAGCGCGATGATCTTTTCGCCCCCGCTGGCGACCCAGGACTACACGTCTACATAGGAGAATAATAAACAATATAAACATAAACTTACAGCTCTCCGTGCAAATTCTTGATCTGCGATGGACCCCCCTCCCTGGCGCGCGAAGCGCGCCAGAGGCGGCGCCGGAGGCTTCGCCTGGGGAGCCCAGCGCAGATCCAAGATTTCCGCGCGGAGCGCCGGAAGTTTGTTTCCATGGCGTTTTTCTTCTTCGGCCGAAAACGCGATCTGGGGGTTCAGGATGGCCCTGGCTAGGCATGGTGGTGGACTGTAGGTGCCTCCTCCTGCGGATGGACGCCGCCCTACTAGTCCCTGGCCTCGGTCCAAGCTGTCTTCGGCCAGTGGGGCCCGCTGGGCGTGCGGCTGTCTCCGTCGCCTTTGCCGCCCCCGACATTGTACGACTGCCGAGTCTTCACGTTCCTGGGGTCGAGGCACTTCCACTGCTCGTGGACCTCGGCCCTGCAACACGTGGCGGCAGCAAGGCGCACAGGGAACTCGCCATCTGTGAGCTCGCTACACTTCATGAAGCAACGCCCGAGGTGCACCTCCTCATTCTCCAAGCAGGCGCCCGCCGGGTGGGGACAGCCATTGCCCGCCCTATCACCGCTTACGTCGTATCCGGTGCAGATCCCCATTTTCAGCTTCTGGTTGAAGAGGCCGCACGAGCCGCCCTCTTCGCCCGCCGAGCAGCACGACCAGGCAGAGGTTCGCCTCGGGTACTTGCCGTGCGTGAGCAGGCTGCACTTCTTGTAGCACAAATGGGCCAAGAGCTCCTCGTCGTCGTCGCAGACGTTGCCGTCGTGCATGTCCTCCGCGGGAGCGTGGGGTATGGACCGCGCCTCCTCGCCCGCACCGGCCGCGGCCTCGACGCCGCCCCCGCCGTCGAGGTCGACGAGGCCCTGCTCGTGTGCGTCGAACAGGCCCTTGGCCATCTGCACCGCCGCCTCGTCGAAGAGCCCGCCGCTCCCCAGCTGGCGCGGGCGCGCGCGGCCTGCACGAAGCGCGCCAGGGCCGCCCGCGCGCGCCTGCACCGCCCACGCCGCCAGCGCCGCCGCCCCCAGCAGCGCGGCGCCGAGCGCGGCTGCCGCAGCGCAGCGGCGGCGCTGCCCCGACGGCGCCGCCGGCGACTCGGAGCCGCTGCCGCTGTCCTCCGACTCCTCCGAAGGGGCCCATGGGAGACACACAGAGATCATCACAGATCAAAGGGTTCCCCGTATCTCCCACATGTCCTGTCCTGGATGCTCGCCTCTCCCTCCACTTCCCATATCTTCCACATCATCCTTGGAACCGACCGACTGTCAGCTGTGTCTGTGTTTTTTGGTTCCCTCCTGGTCCTGACCTGGGCCAATGCAACCCTGGCAGTCAGGCCTTGCAAGATCCTGTAGAGTCCTGCACGCTAGCCCGGGTCAATGCACCCCTGGCCCTGCAACATCGTGCAATATCCCCAGACGGTTAGACGACGATTCCCCGAAACGCAAAGCGCGAACCCCGGAACGCGAACACGCCAGCCTCGGAAACAACGGCGGCGCGAACCCCGGAAACGCGAGCGGCCACCCACGGAAACAGCGAAACACCATCCCCGGAAACGAAATCACGAAATCACAACCCCTGAGACCCTCAGAAAACGCCTCCTCCTCCTCCTCCTCCTCCGCCTCCTCCGCCTCCTCCTCCGCGCCTCCTCCTAACCGGCGCCGGGTAAGAGTGGGTGAGCGAGTCCGTTGGGAGTGAAGGGAAGTCCGTCGGCGGACCTCCCTGGGAGTGAGGGAGGTCCGCCGTCGGACGCCTTGGGGGTGGGGCGACAAGTGGTTTAGCGAGCCCCCTCTTCCAATCGCCTTCTTCTCCGCTGGGCCGGGGCGCACCCCTTTAAAACAGGGCTAGGATCGGGATAAATCGCTCCAGAGCGTTCCGGAGCGCTCTCAGAGCGTTCCGGAACGCTCTGGAGCGGCCGCGGCGCCCAATGCATCCTCCAAACCCGCCGATTCTCAGAGATTTCGAGTTATCCCGATCCGAGTTTGTCCCGACCTTCGCGTCGTTTTACCCTTCCCCTCTTGCCTCCCCTGGACCGGCACGGGGCGGCCAGCGAATCGTTGGGTGGGGCGGTCGAGGTGTCCAATGGGATGGCCTGAAGGAGGCCGCGGAAATCGGGAGCGGCCAAGAGGGGGGTGCCCGAGAGGGGGGGGTGCAAATCATGACCGGCGGCATGTGCGCGGCCCAGCGGGGGGGCCAGGGACGTAATGAAATAAGAAGGGGCGCCATGAAATCTTGGGAAATATCATGGCCCACGCTTAAGAAGCAACTACTGGGAGGTTTTCATCGGAAAAATTAAATGGGATTAAGCCCCATTTGGGAGCTGTTACGCCGGAATGGGCCTCGGACTAAGCAGGATTAAGCCGGATTAAGCGGGATTAAACGGGATTAAGCCGGATTAAGCGGGATTAAGCCGGATTAAGCCGGATTTCGGACCAGGGCAAAGTCAGAATTTAACCTCCCAGGAGTTGCATCCGAACCCACGCCATGATATCCACCCCCCCTAGTCATCCCCCCCCTCTTTTCCGCCCCCGAGGAAAGGCCGAGAGGGCGGAGGCGTCGTGGCCGGAGCGTGACGGTCCCAGCCAACGGGCCAGTCAGAACTCAGCCAGCCAGCCCAACCAACCAACCAACCCAACCAACCGACACGACCGCCAACGACGACGAGGACGACGAAGACCCCTGTCAAATCGCTTCTCGACCGCCCTGGGGCCGAAAGGCGTCCGGAAAGAGCAACGGCCCTCCGAACATCGAGTCGACGAAGACTCCCCGAGGAACTGGAGAGGAACATGAGGAGGTGCAGTGGGGGCTCGGCCACAAGCAACCTCCGCAAGAAGCCCAACCCTGAAATCCGCGATCTGTTCTGTGAGAATCCGCACGTGTCGATCGAAAGTCGCCAAGATCTGACTGGGAGCCCACCGAAGTCCAAGACACCCAGGGCACCCTGGCAGAATCCAACTGGTTTCTTGGCACGCGCCCGACACAAATAACAGGATTCCCCATGTGTTCTTCATACTCTTGGGTTTTTTGTCTTCCCCCCACTTCCAATGGTTTCCCCTATGTTCTGGGGAATCGACGTTCAATTGTGTCTGTGCTTTTTCCCGCTCCTGAATCTGATGAGGAGGTGCTCCTCGGGGCTGCCCTCCACCAGGAAGGCCCCCGAGGGCCAGGAGGCCTCCAGCCTATAGTGGACCCCCACAAAAAATGTACGAGGCTGGGGTCCCGACGTGAACCTCCAGGTGCGACGACGACGACGACGACGACGACGACGACGACGACGACGACGACGACGACGACGACGACGACGACGACTACAAGATCCATGCAAAACGATTCCCCAGACCCCTCCCGGGGTCCCTCCGACACAGTTTGGCAGTCCGGATCGGTTTTTAAGCCCCATCGCCTAGGAACACGTCCGGGACCCGAAATCCAAGAATGCCCTCCTCAAACCTCCAGGTTCGATGTCCTCGTCCGCCTTCCCCTTCTCCCCGTCCCCCACCCCCTTCACCTCCTCGCCCTCTCCTTCTACGCCTCGCGCCCTGTATTTCCCCGGTTCGGCGCGTCCCGCGGTTCCTGAATCGTGGGTTCGTGGTTCTGGGGTTCGCGCTCCCGTTTCCTGGGTTGAGCTCGTTTCCCCGGGTCGAGGTTTTCCCTCCCCAGACATTTTCCGGTATGATTGACTTAAATCCGCGGCCCAAGAGGTCCCCACCCCTTCTCCCCATCCCATCTTTGAGGTTTCCTGCGCATGATCACGGGTATCGCATGCTGAAATCGAAGAGAAATCGCAGGATGGAAAAGTCATACACTCGGAGATGTGGGTCCAGCTCTCTGGCTGACCCCCGTTTGTCGAGTAGGGGACCGACTGCAGAATCGATTTGCCCCACAACTGATTCCTCGCCGAATCTGCAAGAAATACGTGGACCGCTCGACCATTTTCGCACTTTTGGACGAGAACATGAGTTCAGGGGTACGTCAATCCTGTGGTCGATTCCCCGACTCCGGATGGCAAAATGATCGCGCCCTTCCTTGGGTTCCGGGAAGGGGCTGGGCGCGTGCCGTCGGATGTGTGTGTGTGTGTGTGTGTGTGTGTGTGTGTGTGTGTGTGTGTGTGTGTGTGTGTGTGTGTGTGTGTGTGTGTGTGTGTGTGTGTGTGTGTGGAGGCACATGGCAGATTTGGAGCTGAAGCTCCTCGTGGGGAAACCAATCGGTACCGATACCGCTACTCGTAAGTCGGGCGTGTCCCCCTACAGGGGGATTTCCGACGAACAAATAAAAAATACAAAAAATACTCCAAAATGGTCAAGTAATGCAAAACAAATGGTCCCCATACTATTTCTTGCTATTATATTTTTTGGGCTATTTGTGAAATTTCCCCCTGTGGAGGGACAGGCCCGACTTAACGCTACTCCCCAGACCTGTCCAGGGGTGCGTTCTGACCAGGACTCCGAGCCGAATCCAGCGGTAGCGACGAGGGCGTCGGCTCGAACAGGGGGGGAAGCGGGGGCGACGAGCAGCGGTATGGGTAACTACCCTCTCCTCCGCTGGACTGCGGGGCGGTGGGGGCAGGGGGGGCGCCCCGTCGCAAGGCCAGTCCTAGGGGAACAAAAAGCGGCATAAACATAAAGCAAACTCGGAGGTCCGCGCGGATTTCTCGGATCGGCGCTGGGGCCCCCCAGCGGCGCCTCCGGCGCCGCCCCTGGCGCGCTCCGCGCGCCAGGGAGGGGGGGGTCCAGCGCCGATCCGAGAAATCCGCGCGGACCTCCGAGCTTTTATGTTCATGTCACTTTTTGTTCCCCGAAGTCCCCCCCCCGGCATTGTGCCACCCGGAGTGCCCAAGCTTCTGCCCGACCGTGCATTGTTCGAATAACAAAAACGATGTTCTTTGAACATGAACCCGAAGTGATAAAACAAGACAGACTCAGCCAGAAATGTTCTAAGAACATTTCGTGGAAACAACACAAGGTTTTTAGAACATTGTTTGGTAGGGCTATAGGCGAGCCAGGACGCTTCGCCACTGCTCGCAGGGCGCGGGCCGCTTACATCGCATCGCGCTCGGCGATCGGGGGGAACCCGATGATCCCGCACCAGAGGTCACTCCGGCGAAAGGTTACTCCTAAGTGTAGTCGACCCTAAGTCCCCCCCCCGGCATTGCGCCAAAAAATGCCACTCCTGACCTATAAACCTATCTGGACTGCCTCAAACCTCGACAGGAATTCGAACGCCGACGTCCTGGTGCCATTTTTTTAGCCCTCCTGGGAGGTCAGGGAAGTCCCCCCCCCCCGGCATTGTCGGCTACACGCAAGAGTGACCCTGGGTTTTGGGGGGCCGCGGGGGGACCAAACCTGGGCGCGCAAGCCGCTGCCCCTGCTTCGTCTTCAGCCACCTGGGGACCCACCTGTGCCCGCACCAGAGGCCGCTCCGGCGAAAGGTCACTCTCACGTCCAGTCGGCACTGTGCCACCCCGAGTGCCCGAGCTTCTGCCTCCGGGCCGCGCTCCTCCACCGCCGCCGCGGGCGGGGGCCCGCTCCGCCGGCCGCCCGCGGCGGGCGCCATGTGGGCGTGCGCGCCCCTCGGGGCGTGCCGGCCGCGCCGCGGGCCTGCGCTCGGGGCCCCCTCGGCCCGCCACGGCTGCCGAAGGGGCCGGCTGCAGCGAGTGCCTGCGAGGTGCGTGGCGTGCTCTCTGACGAACCGACAACACACACCCGCCCCGTACCCATAGGGGAGGTCGGAGAGGGCTATGGGTGCGTGCTGTCGGAGGGGGGTCCCCGCTCGGACGGCAGCCTCCCCCCGGGTCAGACAACCCGCACCCATACCCGAGAGAGAAGTCGATCCCCAAGGTCTCGCTTCTAAAATGGATACCCTGGGATGCCCCATTAATCTTTTCAAGGGTGCAGATGAAACAATCTTCCACGGTGATTCTTGCAAGCATGCATGCCGTGCCAAAAAGGGGAGGAGGAGGAGGAGGAGGAGGAGGAGGAGGAGGAGGAGGAGGGAAAGGAAAAGGAGGAGGAGAAGCAGGAGGGGGAGGAGAAGGAGGAAGGGGAGGAGGAAAGACGAGGGGGAGAGAGAGAGAGAGACGAGGAGGGGCGCGAACCGAAAAGCCCTGCCAGGGCACACTGCCATGCGCGCCTCCCCGTCGCCTCCGGGGCGGTCGGCGGGCAGCGGCCGCGAGCTCTCCCAGACCCAGCGTCGGGGCCCCCCCTGCGGGCCAGCGCGGGAAGCACAGGGCCCAACACGGTCCTACGGTGCCCCTGGGCGCGCGGCCAGCGGCGGCTCCGCGCTGCGGCCTCCTGCTCCTCTTGCCGGACCCGCCCCGCGGCCCGCCCCGCGGCCCGCCCCGCGACCCGCCCCGCGACCCGCCCCGCGACGCACCCGCGACCCCGCCCCGCGACCCACCCGCGACCCACCCCGCGACCTCCCCCGCGATGTGCCCCGCTGCCCCGCGACCCGCCCCGCGACCCGCCCGCGACGCGTTCCGCGACCCGCCCACATTGCTTTGACAAAGACGTTGGCGCGTGAGGTGGGCTCATTGTGTAATGCGGTAGAGGATCGGCGCCTGCGGCGGGCTTCTTCACGTGTGCTTCCGACCTTCGCAAACTGCCGACGACCATCCCGCCCGTTTGTTCTGATCTGCAACTGCGGGGGCTAGGGTACTGATTGCTTCACCTGGATTGTTCCTGTATGTCTGCCACAACACCGTGGCGTGTGCCTTTGACTACGTCTACCTTGGCTGGAGATCCTCAGGGGCGCTTCAGAAGAACGTGACTCAGAAAATACCGTGCTCCGTCGGCGTGGCCAGGCGCCCGAGCGTTACGTGAGCTGCCGCGCACGTAGCGACACGCGTCAGGGTTCCCCGCCGAATCCTCGGGCGACGAAGCGAGAAGAGGCCGCCGCCGCGGAAGGCGGCTTCTAGAGACGGGGTGAACGAAATTGACTCCCCAACAGGCTGGTCGGAATGTTTCGTGATCGCATGCTAGGGTGTGATGAGCTTCTGTTTGAGATTCGCGTCGCGAAGGCATCCATGATATAGCCTGGTCCTTCTCCTCGGCCTCCTCCTCCTCCTCCTCGTCCTCCTCCTCCTCCTCCCCTCCTCCTCCTCCCCCTCATCTTCTTGACGACTACATCGGCTGTCGCGGGCGGGGTTCGGCACCGGGTCCGCCCAGAGCGTGCCGCCGCGAGAGGTGCCAGGGCAGAACGAGGGCAACAGGGGTGCTCGGGGAAGAGGTGGGACGACGGGAGAGGATGAGGACGCTCGCCATCGCTCGGACGCCCATTTCCCGTGCACTTTTCGGTTTCGTGCGTGTTTTCTGTTGCTCGATTCGGGGATGGACAGACCCCCCTTTAGCAAAACGTGGTTTAGCGAAAACGACCTGAGGCCCAAACCTGGCGGGCGCAAGCCTGGAAAATGACGGCCACGGCGCCCTCTCGAGAACCGAAAACGGACAATTCACTAATCGACGTGTCACTGTTGGGGGTTCTGTCCAGCCCCGAGAGAGGATGAGGACGCTCGCCATCGCTCGGAACTCCATTTCCCGTGCATTTGTCGGTGTCGTGCGTGGTGTTTTGTTGCTCGATGGTCCAGGATCGTCCTCGATGGTTCTCGCCGAGATTTCCTTTTTCGGTTTCGTGCGTGGTTTTTTGTTGCTCGATGGTCCAGGATCGTCCTCGATGGCTCTCGCCGAGAGACAAAAATATGCACGCGTCCGAGCGAGGCCATGGGGACGGGGGGAGCGAGGGCGGCACGGTCCCCGACCTTCCAGAGCGCCAGAACACAGAGCCCTCCAGACCTATCGATCTAGCTGCACCGCCTCGAGCCTCGACAGGGATCAGAACGTCGACGTCCTGGTGTTAATTTCCTAGCCCTCCTGGAACGTCAGGGAAGTCCCTGTCGAGGCTTGAGGCAGTCCGGCCAGATCTGCAGGTCTGGAGTGCTATGTTTTGAGTTGCTCGGTCTACTACATTCTGTTGGCACAGGTTTAAAATAAAAATAAAAATAAATGAATAAATAAAAATTATGAAAAAAATAAATTCGGAAATAAAAAATAAATTTACAAATACTTTAGGCATTGAAAAACATATCGAATAAAACTGCCGCTTATAAAATAAAAACACATATGTCATGCATATTGAATGAGCTGGCCGGAATGATACAATCGGAATGCAATATTTGCCACTGTGACCACCCAACTGGTTCAGAGTCATGGCGCAAGGGTAATTAACCCCATGCAGTTGGCTAGAGAAGCGCTGACACTATAAAGAATCATCCTCTCCGCCTTCCCCCTCGCCCCCCGTCCTCCTGTCTGCTAACTTCCCTCCCCCACCCCATTCTCCCGTCGCGCTATCCGTTGGCATCCTTCTGACTTTTGCGATCTAGAAATGTAGAATACGATTGGCCTGGCTCTCTGGTAGCTTGCGCCATCTACAGGTGGATCTTTGGATCTTTGGCCCCCGAGGAATACGAAACCGAAGACCGAAGACCGAAGACGTCGACGACAGCAGCGGCGGCAGCGACGACGCGCTAGACAACGACTGCGGGCAGGAAGCAGCGAAAGGACTCTTTTCCTTTCCACCCCACCAGCAATGGCAGCACGCCATTGCCATCCCCGGTGGCGCACCGTTGCCAGAAGTCCTATGTCCTATGCACCTATGCACACGTGCTGCAAAAGGAGACTGAGATAATATGAGATGTGGTCTACTTCTGATGCAACAAGACGAGCAGGACAGACACAATGAATACATCAAAGGAACAGCTGATAGAGTGAGTGGGGACACGTTTGAGAAACGGAAGGGCTGATGAAAGCAAACGGCACACGTGGACATCGACACGTGGAAGGGGCGGCGGGGGGTGGCGGGGGGGGGGACGAGGGGGGGGAAAGACTGAGGGCGGCAGGTGGAAGCGGGGAACTTCAAGTGAGAAGCGAGGTAAAGGGCAAGGGGAAATGCGATGGTCAAACAAGGTGCGAGGAGGGGGGCGGAGCGGAGGAGGTGCGAGGTGAGAGGGGGCTCGGACAGAAAGATGAAGTTCAAAGGAGAGGGGGGCGAGACGAAGTACGGACGGGGGGCAGCGAACACGGCGGCTGAAACCTGAAACTGCCTACAGCGCATGGCCCCCGAGGCCTGGGGCCTGGGTCCTGAGACGATCCGAACACCTGAAAACCATGAAGTAGGGGCCGAAAGACAAGCGGCTACGGATCAGGGCCATCGCAGGGCCCAAGGCCCAAGGCCGAGACGCCGAGATGATGGCGACCAGGAGGATCAGAGAACAAACGTTAAGACAGGGGGTCAACGCGAGCACCCAGCCTCGCGCCGCCACCGATCTGAGGTCCGATGGTCGCGTCCACATCCAAGACATCCTTCCAGCTCCTCTTCCTCCCTCCCCCTCCGTCTCCTCCACGTCCTCCTCCTCCTCCCCCCTCATCCGCCCCCCCTCGTCCTCCTCGCGGCCCCTCGGAGGCCCTCAGGCCCTCGCTCTCACGACGGGCCAAGCAACATGCAACCAAGCGTCGAGCAGGCCCCCTCATCAGAGACCCTCGTCCTCCTCGCGACCCCTCGGCCCTCGGCCCGCGGCCCTCGCAAGGGCGATCAAGAATGAGATTCAAGCGGAACCCTTCCTCCGCTTCTTGATCCTCTCGGCCAGGGACGCCTTCGCCTCCTCTGGCAGCGGCCTCCTCCTCGCCTGCTCCTCCTGGCCCTCCTGGCCCCCCCCCTCTGCCGCTGCTGGAGCTGGAGCCACCGCGGCGGGCGGCGCTGGCGGCGCAGCCGCCGCCGGAGCCGGGGGGGGCGGCGCCGCCGCCAGCGGGGCGTCGGCCTCGGCCTCGGCCTCGGCGTACTTGCACGCCTCGAAGGCCGCCGCGTCACCACTGGCGAGACCGTCCAGGACCTTCGCCATGGACTCCGGCAGCTCGACCTGGCCAAAGAAAGGAGAAAGGACCGAATCGCCAATCCGAGAACAAGGAGCAGGCGGGGAGGAGGAGGAGGAGGAGGACGACGACGACGACGACGATGACGAGGACGAGGGCGAGCGAAGGGCGGAGGGTGCGAGGAGGAGGAGAAGGAGGAGCCTCAGGAGGAGGAGGAGGAGGAGGAGGAGCAGGAGGAGAAGGTAGAAGAAAAGGAGGAGGAGCAGCAAAAGGAAAGCGAAAGCGAAGATGGTTGCGGAGGACGTCGAGGGTCGAGGAGGCGAGAAAATAAGGAGGACCACGATGAGGAGGATGACGAACATGAGGAAGATGTGAGGAGGAAGGAGGAGCAGGACAACCACGACGCGGACGACCTTGTGCTTGCCGAACTTCTCCTTCACGCTCTCCACCAAGTCCTTGACCTTCTCCGCCGGCTGCTCGCTGCTGATCCCCTTCGCCAGGTGCCAGGCCGCGAATGCGAAGCAGAACGTCTCCACCCCGATGTTCGACGAGTCCCTCAACTCCTTGACGGTCCTAATCGGCACAATCGGAGCATGGCCATCGGCGTGCAAGAACTTGATCAGCTTGTGCATCTCCCTGGCTGACGAGCTGAGCGGCGCGATCTTCTGAAGTTTATCCCTGGGCCAAGTAGCGAGCTTCAGAAACGCACCGCGGTTCTCCACGAGCGAGTCGCGACACTCCCGCCACTTGCATGGCGACGCGTCGCGG